ATTGCTCCCTGTCCTGCCAGTGAGGTTTCCTCTCGCCCTCTCACACTCCACCTTTGACTGTGTAGATGATGTTCTCCCTGCCTTGAGGATTGTTTCCCCTCCTTCAGCCCAGGCAAGTTGAGTCCATCTATGAGACTGCAGCACCTTCTCCTTGGAACACTACTGACTGACTCTTCTGTTGCCCTTCATGATAACATGTTTCAATAGGTGGCCTGACTTCACAAATAGACTGCAAATCCTGAAGATGGACTATGATCTGCCTGCTGATTCTCTTGGGCCTAGGACAGTGCTCTACCAACTGAATGGGTGCTCATATACATGAATAATAGACTCGAAGGACTAATTATACCAGAGGGCTTGCTCCAGAGATCAGAACAATAGATAAGGATTTGGAAGGGCAGAGGTTGAGTGGAGAGAAATCCACATGCTTTGCAGAGGAGGGAGAACTGATGTCAAAACTAAGGTGTTTGTTGGGAGGGTCCCAAGCCTGCATACAGCGTAGCTGGGTGTGGCTCCTGCTCGCCTTCGCTCCTTGCATTACAGATGTAGACATTATAAGCACTAGAAGCCGTGAGTTCATAGCTATTAGAAGCCTTGCTGTTATGACTTCATGCCTGCACACACAACACATACTATATGAAATTTATTTTGAGAGATTCATTTCTTTTTATAAAAAGAAAGCATAATAGAAGGTCCAGATCTCAGATTCTGAAAAGCATTTGTTATGATCTCATACAGTCTTGGGGTGAGAGGGAATTTAGAGGTCAAGTGGTTCAGCCCTTTCAAACTGAGTTTAGTCCAGCTCTGCAGATATTTATTAAATGCCTACACTGCTCAGGGCATTTTTTGACAGATCTTAATGACCACTAAAACATAGACTTTGCCCTTGAGGAGTTTGTGGGCTGGTAGGGCTACAAGATTGCTACAAAATAAATATAAAAGTAGGGCAGAATATGAAAGATGCAGGAAAAAAAGGGCCAAGCAGATTCACAGGAGAGGCAATCAGGAAGGGCTTCCTGCAAGGAGTGGTCTGTGAGATTGACGGGTTTCCACAGGTGCAGAGAGATGCAGCATCAGTTACACCCATGGGCAAGGAAGTATGGGTTTGGGAAAGAGCTTCGAAAATGAAGAGTCATAGCCCATGGAAAACCATGGAAAAGAGGCAGCATCCCTGCATCAGGAAGCAAAGCTGACTCCACAGTGAAGACTCCGCAGTGGATGGGATGGGGAGAGGTTGTGGATGAAAGTGCCATAATCCGGTTAGAGACAGTGAGAGGGACTTAGGGGATACACATCCATTATGATGTTAGGAAGCTGTGAAAAAATTGGTAACCAAATACATATAAGGGACTAGGTTAGGGGATGCCTTCAAGGTTGGTTTCTGTCTTAAGCTTGGGTACTTAGGTGGGGTCATGGCAGCCACAGGATGGTGTGTTGAAATTCACTTGGTTGCAAGGGACAGAAGCCCAGCTCAAACTGACTTTAAGCAAAAGCAAGATTATAATGGCGTATGGATGCTGTAGGCACAGCTTCCTTCATGGACTCCCATCCATGCTCTAGCAAGCTTTCCACACAGGAAAGGAGAGGTGGCCACCTAAATCCTGGGGTCTACAACTTTAAGGCTCAGATTCCAAAAGGAAGAGAGACCCTCTTCCTCTTCAATATCGATATCTGTATGCCAAATCTCAGAACTTGCTGAGTGATGTGCCCACCCGGAACTAATCATCTCTAGGGGTGAATGGTTCTGATTGGCCAGCCTTGGCCCCTGGGCCTGCTGGGGACATGGGTGCAGGTGCAGTGAACAGCCATCTGTGAGGGCCATGTGGACCAGGGATGGGGGTGGCTCCCCAAAGGAAGCAGTGCTGGGCTGAAAAGAGGTGCTTTAATGAGATTCTTTACAGAAATAACTTTGCCTGAATTCTTTCTTTTTTGGGATTCTACTTCCTAAGACTGCCAATGCTGTTGTTGGACAACTCAGCCTTATTAAAAAGCCTTTCTTTATGTTTAGCTGTAAACTGCCTCCCTGTAACTCTAATTCATTTTAGTTTTCTTCCTAATAACAAGGCAAAACAAATATCCCTTCTAACATTTTATTCAATTGTAGAGATTTCAAGAGCCTCTAAAGAGATGAGATTAGAAGTTTTTAAATGTTTACTTATTTATTCTGAGAGAGAGAGAGAGAGAGAGAGGGAGGGAGGGAGGGGGAGAGAGAGAGAGAGAGAGAGAGAGAGAGAGAGAGAGAGAATCCCACAGGGCTCAAACTCATGAACCTTGGGATCATGAACTGAGCTGAAATCCAGAGTCAGATACTTAACTGACTGAGCCACCCAGGCTCCCCAAGAGGTGAGATGTTTTGGTTTTTAGTTTATAGAAGTAACTGAGGTTCACAGTGATGATGCCACTTGCCTGAATGAGCCCAGAGACAGGCTTTCCTCACTGTACCACATTGCCTGTCCTGGTCCCCAGGCTCTGCTCTCACCCAGCACCTGATGTACAGCGTACTAAGGAACTATTTATTAAATGAATGAACGGTGCTCACTTTGATACCTTTCCAGCATGAAGGCCATGCTGTTCAGCATGGTAACAGTTGTTGCATATTAAGGGCCATCAACTGGTTTCTGATTGATAATAAATAATGTATATTAGTTAGAATACTCTGTTATAAACAACAGAAATGGATTCTGGCTGATTTAACAACAAAAAAATAAACTAATTAAGGAAAACTGGGACATCCATAGGATCACCAGGAAGCCTGGCAAAGCAGCAGAGACCACAGCCCAAGCTTACCATGCTAATCATGCCTGGGGTGGGTATGGTGACAACAGTTGACCCCTGTCCTCAACATACAACATGGCTGGCCCTGCCCTCAGTCCCCACCTGCCCTTGCAGCTGGAACTCCATGATGCTGTACCAGCCACCTTCCTTCCACCTCTCAGGGCATGGGGTTGGGGGTAGCTCTCAACTGGAAGAGCCTGAGCCACATCCCATACACCAGCTGAAAAAACAAATATCTGACTTCCAGCAAGTGGATAACCCTCCAAATCTAAGATGGAGTTCAGATCTTGGACAGCCAAGAATGTGACATATGGTGACCCATCCTGTTTCCTCTGAGCTTTCTCTTCTTTGGATAGACATCTTCTCTTCCTTCAACCTAAATTCATGGGTGAGGCCTCTAGATGCAATTACCACCTGCCATGAATATTTGGTTCCCAGAATTGAAAGTAATCCTGCAAATGGGGTCTGACAAGCCCAAGGTACGATGGGATTATTTCTTTCCATATTCCATCCTTTAACTTCCATTAATGCATCGTAAGATTTCATTACTTTTCCAGGCAGTCATACTCTATTGATGACTCATGTTAGCTCATATTATTCTTGTGGTTGACTCAATTCCCAAGATCTTTTCCTGTGAGTGGCTGTTAAGCCAGGTCTTCTCAATCATTTACTTATATAATTACCTTATTGAACATGTGCACATTTAACTGAGTAATATAACACTGTATTTGTAATACCTCAACTATTTAGTTCACACCCTTAAATTCCTTTACAATGTAGTACATTTTACTTGGCTACTTCAATCACAAACTGAAAACTGGTGGCCTGTGGGCCAATTTGGCCATACATTCATTTTGTTTGGCTAGTATGGTGTTTTTTTGAGAACTGATTTGGTTGCCAACTGTTGAACATCAGGAGATCTCACATAAAAAGCGGGCCTTCCATCTTCTCTTGAAAAGTAGAAAGATCTGGCAATTAACTAGGCCCTCGTTTCCTCAAGGCAATGTGTGATTGGCTGGAGCCGAGGAGTAGCTATGCACTTTGCAAGGTGCAGGCACTGCTCACTGCAGGCCCCACCATGCTCTATTGCCTCATCTACTTCATGCCACTTCATGAATTTCCATTCCCTGTGTAGTCTAAGTACATTTGGGATTGTAAGCTGTCTGCTGTGGGAATTGGTTAAGACGGGAGCTTAAGGGATAGAATGGAAGCAAGGGATGTCTGAGAAAGGTGGGCTCAGTGGCTGTGCTTGCTCCTGTGTGGCCTCCATAGAGAGGGAAGCTGAGGAGAGAGGGGTGGCTTTGGGCCCCTCGCACATGTGTCTGTGGTTCTGTCTGTCATGCCACTTGTTCTGGAAATTCTCACCTCTCCTTCTGTGTGACTCCTGAGGGCACTGCCAGGTTATAGATGATCCTGCTCCTCTGGCCAGCACACATTGGTCCAGAGAGTGACTCCCTAGACCAAGCTAGATGATAGGGTTTTACAACTTCCAGCCCCTGACAGCATCAGATAACTATCTTTAGTGAGTGGCTGAAGCCATTAGATGACATGCTTCTGGAGCTTTGACAGTGTCTCCTATACTGTGGGTTGGGAAGTAGGGGCAGCTGGTACAAGAGAGGGAAGGAGCATGTCATCATATAGGGAAGTATGAAGAGCAAGGCACGCTGTGGTCCCTCTGCAGTAAGCTGGCACAGCTCTTAGTCTGGGGCCCTGTGAGGTGCTCTCAGTCTCTCCTGGTCATTGAAACCTGGCTTCATTTCTATTGTTCGATTATTCACTACCAAAGGCACCTGGGGTACAGGCGGCTCCTGCTCTCTGCAAACCCTCCCAGTGTCTGAGGGCTCCCCCTCTTGTTCTCCCTTGTATCCTGTGTCCATGTCACCTGCTTTTGGATCAAGAATTCTGGGTCCTTTTGAACATTCCCCTTTGTCGTTCCCGAGGGAGGGTCAAAGAGTTAAAGGAGGAGCACGTAAAGGCAGTTCTGGGCACTGTGACCTGCCTTCTGGTTTCCTGGGAAGTCTGCTCCTAGGTTCCTGTTAGCCAGGCTGCTCAGGGATGCCATTTGCCTCACACAGTTGCCGTGGCTCATGTGAATAATGCATAGTGAAATCCACACCATCAAGAGACATTCACTTGGCAGGTTACAAAGTTTCTAGGAACTGGCAACCTGACATGAGCTCAGGATATCTGGAATGGAGATATTAAGATGTGCGTTTAAAACACCATTAGATGATGATTCTGAGACCTTTATTTCATTAATTCCACAAATATTTGTTAAGCACTGACTCTGTGCCAAGAAATGCCCCAGGCTCTAGGGCTTTTGAAATATAAAAATATGTAGCCGATCGGGGAGTTTATATTCCAGTGGAATGTGATCTTAGTTCTAGAAACAAAAAAAAATAACAAAATTCAGCATCGATGGTTTCATAACTTATCTCTCGCTCATGATAATTATCGCACAGGGCCCTTTAGAGGATTAAATAAAATAATGCATAGACACGTTCTTGGCATTTAAGCCTCAACAAATAATTATTTTCTCTCTGAAAAGCCAAAAAAGGTACACTTAATTTCACAAACCACAGTTTAGCCTGATAGGCGGGCTCTCAGCGCCTCTTCTGAACTATCTGGCTATGCGAGCTTCCAGCCCAGGGTCCATGCATGGTTTGTGCTGGACCCAGGAGGAATGGGGAACACAGCGCGCTGGGAACCCGAAGCGGCCACGAGGGGGCAGCGCACTGCAGGGAATCTTCCCAGTCGACCCCAGCCCACCGCCAAACTTCCCTGCTGCTCCCGGTCCTCCGTACGTACTTCCGTTGCTCTGACGCTCCCAGAAGCCGGGGCGTCGGGAGGGAGAGCGCGAATTCCCCTTCCTCTGCGCCTCCTGGGGAGAAATTGGAGCGGGGTTCGCGAGACTGCGCCACAGTGGGCGCGGCGCGGAGCCGGGTGCTCTGCGCGAGGGTGCGGGTCCGGCGGGCAGCGGCGCCGGCCTCGGACTAGCGACTCCGGGGAGGGCGGGCTGTCTCCGGGAGGAGTCCGAGCCGCCCCGGGGCGCCTCAGCCAACCCGAGCGCCTTCCTCTACTGCTTGGCGGGTCGTCCCCGCACCCACACCCGCAGCTCCGGGCTTGTCACTTCTGCGCCGCCTGGAAAGGGGACCGGGACCAGGAGCGCTCCGGGGAGTCGTCAAAAATGATGCCAGGGTGTTGGCTCTGTTCCTAAGCTGCTTGCCTGCGCTGGCGAGGAAGGCAGTCGGGATAACACCGCCCAAACTTTCCTTCGCGGCAGCGTCGGGAGGAAACCTCCGTCTCTGAGGTTCGCGGAGAGCCAGAGGGAAGACTCGGGGCTCCCGGAGGGGACTGGGCAGAGCCTGAGCAGGAGTGCGCGTTCGGAGTTCTTGGGAGGCCTAGACGTGCCCTAAGGGACAGGTCTAGTTGCCGGGAGCGCCCTAGTTGAAGGGAGGTCCGGGCAGCGCAGCGTCTCCTCTCCTGCGCCCCTCACTGACCGTGACCTCTGCGCGCTCCCTGCGCACGTGCTCGCGGCCGGGGACGAGGAAGGTCCGGCGGAACCCTCTGGGGGCAGGGACTCGCGGGCAGGCCCTGGGCGCATGGAGGCGCCGCGGGGGCGGTGCGGCTCACCAGCGGTGCGGGGGAGCGCGCACGCTGCGCCCAGGCCTCCCCGGGGACCCGACCGGCAGCTACCCGCACTTCCTGCCGCTGGGCTCCGGGCAGTGGGCGGCCACTCTGAGGGCAGCGCCCGCTGAGTGTCGTGCCCGGCGGTGCTCCTGGGTCCCCCTCCCCCCAGCGCTGGGCGGGGTGGACAACCGGCGGGACAGGTGTAGCCCGCAGCCTCGGGCGCAGCGCTCCAAAGGACTGGGTGGGCTCCGCCGGCCGGGAGTTGGCTCCCGGGGCGCGGAACTCCGGTCCCTGCCGCGCAGGCCAATCAGTGCTGCACTTTGCATCGCCGAGGCCGGAGCCTCGGGCCGCCAGTCGGGGTGAAGGGAGTCCTGGTTGAGTTCGGCTCCCCGGCGGCCGCCCAGGCGCGATCCTGATGCCCGCTGCCCGCGGCGGGCCCCGCTCCGGCCCCGGGACCTAGGCAGCTGCGCGCGGCCGCCGCCGGCGCCTCCCCCATGCTGCTCGGAGCGTCCTGGCTGTGCGCGTCCAAGGCGGCCGCCGCTGCTGCGCAGAGCGAGGGCGACGACGACAGGCCGGGTGAGCGGCGGCGGCGGCGGGCGGCGGCCACGGCCACGGCGGCGGGCGAGGACATGGACGAGTCGTCGCTGCTGGACCTGCTGGAGTGCTCGGTGTGCCTGGAGCGCCTGGACACCACGGCCAAGGTGCTGCCGTGTCAGCACACCTTCTGCCGCCGCTGTCTGGAGAGCATCGTGTGCTCGCGCCACGAGCTGCGTTGCCCCGAGTGCCGCATCCTGGTCGGCTGCGGCGTGGACGAGCTGCCTGCCAACATTCTGCTGGTGCGCCTGCTGGACGGCATTCGCCAGCGGCCCCGCGCCGGTGCCAGTCCCGGCGGCAGCCCGCCCGCGCGCCCCGGCCCCGGCTCAGGAGCGGCCTCCGCGCTCGCGGGTGGCGGGGGCAGCGCGGCAGGCAGCGCCCCGGGCTCTCCGGTCTTCCTCCCTGCGGCGGCGGGCAGCGCAGCCGCCAGCCTGCGTGAGTTGGCGACCGGCAGGAGTGCGCCCGTGGCAAAGGTGGGTATCTGCTTCGTAGTGAGGCGCCACAGTGTGTCGGGGGGTGGGTAGGGGGCAGTGATGAAGGACAGGGGAGACCAGAGGTTGATTCATAGTGGCCTTCGCCTTGCTCTTCTTCCTCCACCTTGCTTCAATCCAGGGACTCTGTGAGTGTAACCCTTCAAGTCCCACTTGCTAACTCTTGGACACCGTGTACCTCCCCACCCCTGCCTGCCCCGCATCCTTTCCCCTCCCCTCTGAACCGCTTGTCCGCCACTGCTGTCCATCAATCCTCTTTCTGGAATCCCTTTTCGCACCACCTGCACTTGCTCTGTGCCAGAATGCGGTCCTAGGAAACCTTGCCACCTGTTCATAAATGGTGACACCCCATCCTCCCCCAGGGTGGGCGCGCCTTCCTGCCCTCTGCTAACCTCTGGTCCCTCCAATCCTCCCGCTGGCAGGGCCTGTTTCTCCCCCTTCTTAACTTTGCTGGGCCCTCCCATCTCCCCAGAAATAGTCTTCTTTCCCTGGACCCCAGTCTAGACCTCTGCACACCCTCCTCGGCCTCTAAAGTTAGTGGTTACTATTTTCTGGGTTCTGGCCCTGCCTGCATGTCTGGCAAGGGAGGATTGGGCAGAGGGAGTTGTGTGATTGGGGGTTAGGGGGACATCAATTACAAACTTAAGGTAATGGGAAGGAAGAAGTTAACCTGGAAATGGAAGGCGTCTTGGACTTGGTCTGTTGGGAAACTGTGGTCCTCTCTTGGGCTCTTAGGCATGGTTGCATTCCCAGGTGGGACATTATTTGAGTTTTCTTGTGTTGTTGGTTGGTTGGTTTGTTTGTTTTTGGTGCAACTACATTGTACAGCATCTTTCACTGTTTCTGTTTTAGTGAAAGCTTTTATCTTGGGGCCTCAGTGATTTGGTTTCAGAAGCTACTTAGAAGGTGTCATTTCACACCCTCTGCTACTATTATTTTTATGGAGGGGGAGGATACCTGTGGGATGCTGACTTAAGTGAGAAGAAAGATATTCATGTTTTATATTTTCTTTAAATGTAGAAAAATGCCATTTAAAGGTAAAAAAATACATTGTTGATCTATGGCAGTTATCATTCATTTCAGAAAACACAATCTTACTTCTCTACTTTTGACCATTTAAGAAGCTGGTGATTCATAAACCATTTAAATAATCCTTCCAATATGTATAACACCAAGATGCTAGGACAATTCTAACCATGTGAATTAGTACTACAACATCTTTGAGGTTAGGGACTTAAGCCCTTGGATGTTGAGCTTTAGAAGTAAATGCCATGCTTTGCCAAACTGTTTTTCCTATGATCAGGAAGAATGGACAGTCAAGAATAGTCAAGGAATGTTTATACCTGGGATCACTGCTGGACAGCAGTTAAGTTGTTTTTCTTTGGTTTTAATTGTGATTAAAAAGCGTCATGAGTGTGCTTGTTCAAGATTTTCAAACTTTTCCTTCCTGTCCTTGCTGTTTTCATCTAAGGTATTATAATGAAAGGTCTTTATTTGCAGAATAGGTGGTTTACCCTCCTCCTACTCAGAGAACTAAATGATTTTTGGAATGATGTTTCTAGTTAAACACCAGGACATTTTTTGATGGGCCTGTATTTACAGATGCCTTCCCAACTCATTTTACATGAACTGTGTTTGATCAGGAGGTTAGGAGGTAGCCTCTGACATTTGAAAGGCCTGAGGCAGCTCCTGGAACTCTGAGGCATTTGTAGCATTAAAAAGAATTGTCAAGGAGGTTGAACTTACAACTTTTAGCCATAACAGTAACAGGGAGTTAATTTTTCGTTGGTTGGATTTTGGGGTTATTGGCGGACTTTCTCTATAGGCGTATGTAGTGATCAGACTGATGATGGCTTTCTGAGCTTCAGGAAACTTTAGAACACAGAATCTTTCTTTTTGTTGTGTTAACTGAGTGTAACCCTCACCCCTTTCTTCACAGACTCACCTCATAAGGACTAAGTTTGGGTTTCCAGAAGAGTCTGAATGAAATCCAGTCTCATATTTGATGCTTTTCAGAGAATGGAGGTGGAATTCATAGTATCTTCTGGGTTTTTACCCTCTGATGTGTAAGTCAGTGGGAGTCTTCCTGGGTAGCCAGAAGTCCTGCATAGAGCGTTCCACTTTAAGCAACGCTATACATTTGGCAGGCAAAAACTTTAGCTAAAAATTACTTCCAAATAGGCTTTTGGTACTTTACTGTCTATTGGAATTGCTTTGACTCCTCATAGTGAGGCTGAAGGCTGGATGTTGCTTACTAGATGGACACTCAGGTTATTATTCGGCAAAGACCATATATGCCTTAGCAGCAGGCTGATTATAAATAAAAGATAGTCTCTGAGTTTCCTAGTGAAGCTCCTCAAACCTTTTGGGCTAAACTGGGATATGTAAACATTGTAGGTATGCAGATAAATGTCTGCTTAGATTGTGTATTTACATATAGCTAGACATTGGGAATGCATCATGTATAAAGTGGATTGACTCTTGTTTGGTTCTTCTTGGAGTTCATGAAACAATTTTCCACACTTTTCACCTGCATCTTTGTTTTCCGAGTTTTGATTATCAGCAGGGTCAGTTGGAATCCTCTAGCCTAGTTAGCAGAACCTCCCCACTCTGCTTACACCTGAGCCATTTGAGATGTGGCATTTTCAGAATCAAGTAATTATGCTGCCCCTGGACATTTTATACTAAGTTACAAGTACCCACTGCCTAAGGTTAGGACTCGTGATTTCTTTATTTGCCTGTTGGAAAATACTTGTCATTACGTGTTGCTTCTTAAAGTGATCTTTTGAGAGGTCCTGTTTTAACAGAAGCAACTACTGCAGTTGCTCAACATGTGCTAAGTTTCTCGGCCTAACTTGTTTCCATTTCATATTTACAGTTGTGTGAGGTGACCCCTGTAATACCTCCAACTAGCATTGGTTCCAGTGTTTCAGGGAAACATGTTTTCCTAAAAGGGTTTTGTGGTTCCAAATTGAGTAATTTAAAGAGTACTTTTTAATATGCTTTCATAAGAACACAAATGTAAGACAATTCTAATTTTTTGAGTGACTTATTTTGTGGGGGGACGCCCTTGCCTTATATTTGAGCACACACAGAATTTACTGTGGACCTACACTATGCCAGTCACCATTCCAGGTGAACCAGACCAGACTGGGCTCTCTCTCTCTTTGATGGGGGGAGGGAAAAGGGGGGAGGAGAGGGAGAGAGAGAATCTTAAGCACACTCCACGCCCAGTGGATGGAGCCTGAAGTGGGGCTTGATGTAGGGCTCTAGTGGGGCTCTATCTCATGACTGTGAGATCATGACCTGAACAGAAATCGAGAGTTGGATCCTTAACCGACTAAGCCACCCAGGTGCCCTGAGAATGAGCTCTCTTTACAGAGCTGACATGAAGGGATGGTAAACCAATCTGCCCTCTACTCTCAGGAGGTTCCTGAGAGCACTGGATTGGTGTTGATCCACAACTCTATGAGGGTGAAGAGGAAGGGCATTTTCACAAATTAGAGAATCATAGAAAATTTGGGTAATGCTTTTGATGATATAAAACCTAGGCATTAGGGCCTGGTTTGTCTGTATTATATATGGTTTGAATTGGAAATCTGTGTCTCTCAGCCAGTGTTACTAGGAGCTGTAGTGGGAAAAGCCTAACTAGAGAATCATACAAATGATATCTATTAAGCATTTTATTTTAAAAACACATATATGTGTTCATCATTTTTTGGATGCAGGGCTAAGGACTTGTCTTGAGTTCCAAGATGACTTAAACCACAGCCACAGTTTATGGTTTATTATTTGTTTCTTTCAAATGGAGAACAATGAGACTTTCAAAGAATTCTGAGTGGAACACCGTCTAGATTTTAAGCAATTCCCACTTAATGCTGTATGGTTTTGTTTATGCCCAATTTGACGATTTTAAAGTGGTCTGTCTTTGGTGAGTGGTTCCGAGGTGGTCATTGTGTTTTTCCAAGGAATGACTTCCTTTGTATGAAATGTCTTTTGTTTACATAACATTTGGTTATCAGTACACTTGCATAAACATGGTTAGGAATCAAGAACATGAATTCCAGGTAAGCATAGACCTCCCTGGGCAAGAGTGAAGGCCTGGATAGCAGGGGCCAGGCTGAGCTTTCCAGGGGGATGGGTGCCTTTTGCCTTTCATTTGGAGGAGATGGACCAGTCCAGCTGGTCATCTCTCTGGGGTCCAGTTCAGAGAGTGTCTGTGGTATCTGGAAGCAGTCAGCCTGTTCTTTAGTCGTTAACAGTTGCGGAGCTTATGCTTGAGATTTTCTGTTTGAACAATTACTGAGTGCCTACCATGTGCTGGGCACTTTGGCATATGTCGCTTATAGAAAGTTTGGCATTGGGGCGTCTGGGTGGCTCAGTCGGTTAAGCGTCTGACTTTGGCTCAGGTCATGATCTCAAGGTTCGTGGGTTCAAGCCCCACGTCAGGCTCTGTGCTGACAGCTAGCTCAGAGCCTGGAGCCGGCTTCATGTTCTGTATCTTGCACTCTCTCTCTCTCTCTGACCCTCTCCTGCTCGCTCTCTCTCTCTCTCTCTCTCTCGCTCTCTCTCTCTCTCAGAAATAAATAAAAACATTAAAAAAAAAAAAAAAGAAAGTTTGGCATAGTCCTGTGAGGTGTGGTGGGTGGTTTTGATCTGTGGGCAAAATGGTCAAGACAGAGAGCCAGGAGGTGTTGGGGTTAGGATATGTTCTCAGGCTCCATTCCTTTCTGTTCTGCTTGGCCGTATCATTGGGGTTTTGTTGTTGTTTGGTCTTGGAAGTAATAATGACTCCAGAGGAAAAGGCCCAGTGCCTGGAGGCCCTCACAAAAAAAGCCAGACAGCTCACAGGACAGCAGACAAGTGGTTGACTTGTGGTCCCCGTGGTGACAAGGGCAGACACCAGCCTTTGGAGACATGACAGATGAGTCACAGTGAAGTCCTTTTTGGGCCTGTTTTCAGCAGGCCCCTGAGCATGGAAA